CCACAGTCATTTCGTTATTGTTCGCGACGGTGGCTGGACGTTCGGCGAGACATTTTCGACTTTGTGAACTGTCGGGGCGATCGAAGGCCCAGAGTGGACTCATCAAGAGCGGAATGCCCCGGCCTGGATTCTACGAAAGGTAAGAGTGATCAAAAACTATTTACAGTGAAGTGTTTGAGATTTTCAACTCGAGCCGGTCGATTTTTCGGAACACATTCATGCGTCGTGACCCTCGCGGCAGTGATTCCTCATTTTTTGTTAATTCTTTCAGAAACTCTTGTTGGATTCATTCCACCACTTAGAACATTGAATTATCAAAAATGGGAAAATATTGATAATGAAAAATGGACAGCCTTGTGTTTCTCCTTTGTTCGGAATTTCCAACGGTTGTTTGCGCGAAAAATCGGCGCAGAAGCCCCCCTCCCCCCCAAGCCCAATTCGTCGCCCGTCTTTTGTTGTGAGTTGAACGGTCATTCGTTCCTCACTCGCGACACCACTTGTTCCGCGGAGACGTCTTGGTCTCAATTGACTCGGAAAAATATTAACGTGCTTTATTCCACCGAATTTCGGCAATCGATCGGCTATTATTTCGCGGAATAAATTGTAAAGTCCACGAATATGGTGACGTGAGGTAATTACGACAGGAAATTTACCAGTGATGGGGAAAAAAAATTCCATTTTGATTTTTTTCGATAAAATCTTTTTGCTATATAATTTTTTATAATTTTACAATAATTGTGATAGTGTCCGTAAATTAGTGATGAATATCGGGTTCAGTGAAAATTCGTTCGTGAAAATGTGCGCGGTAAACCCTTTCCCACCAATCCGCTATTCTTCCCGCGTTTTTCTTCGCTGTGCGGTCGCCATCTTGAATTATAGTGGTGTCTTCCCGACGGACATCATGAACTTGAGTGAATAATTCTTTTTCTAATCGATAATTCGAGTGCCGGGGATTTGAGTTGATGAATAATATTTTTTTAATAGTGAAAAAGTGTTGAGATATGAGATATATTGTTAAAATGGGGATAAATCTCTAGCCATGCTCATTTTCCCTTTCGCGTACTGAATAATTGACCGGAGGAATCAACTCTGACATTTAATTCTTATTTAAATAATGATGAAAACTATTGGTGATTTTTCGAGAAAAAAACGTGTATCACCGGTGAATTTTTCGAATGAAAAAATCGAGAATTGTGTCATTGAATATTTATTGAACACTGATGTGTCTGAAAATGTTGGATTGTGAATTGATTTTCAACATTCACTTCTTGCGGATTTTTCATCCACTTCGATGAATCAGCGAAGTTGACGAGTGGAGAGAGACAATTATCTTGTTGTAAAACAGAAAATGTTGGGGAAAACACGAATTCTTGTTGTATCTGACGTGTGGGATTGTGATCACGTACACACGTCACATGTTTAAATCAGGTTCTCCTTCGTGGGAGACCTCAGTTTTAACCGGCAGTTGACGTTCCTTGATTTCATGAAAAATAAATTTTATTTAAATATAATTATTTTATGTGGAAAGGTTTTATTCGGGATTTTCATATTGTTGCTTTACATCATTTACTTCTAAATATCATAATATACATAAAGATTATTTAGAAATCATCTTGAGAATAGGGTGAACCAACCAGTGTTCAAATTGAGAAATGATTTCAGAGAGTTCAAATCGCGGGACTTCAGTGATGTCGATGACTTCAATGAATTCACATGATTTCAACGTGACTTCAGATTGACTTCATCACAGAGTGGCGCCATGACTTTGGGAGTGAGTAGCCCCTCGTTTTGTTCAGTTCAAATAAATCAATGCTCTTTAAATAGTTCTTTCGGTCCGATGGAAAGTTTGTCCCACGCAACAGGGAGTTGTCGGTGAAGAATATCTGCAATATTCCTGTCCGCGAGGGGTTAACTAGCCCCGCCGCAGAACCTCAGAGGGGAAAAAACCTTTATTCCAATTAATTTTGTTCAGTTCAAATAAATCAATGCTCTTTAAATAGTTCTCTCGGTCCGATGGAAAGTTTGTCCCACGCAACAGGGAGTTGTCGGTGAAGAATATCTGCAATATTCCTGTCCGCGAGGGGTTAACTAGCCCCGCCGCAGAACCTCAGAGGGGAAAAAACCTTTATTCCAATTAATTTTGTTCAGTTCAAATAAATCAATGCTCTTTAAATAGTTCTCTCGGTCCGATGGAAAGTTTGTCCCACGCAACAGGGAGTTGTCGGTGAAGAATATCTGCAATATTCCTGTCCGCGAGGGGTTAACTAGCCCCGCCGCAGAACCTCAGAGGGGAAAAAACCTTTATTCCAATTAATTTTGTTCAGTTCAAATAAATCAATGCTCTTTAAATAGTTCTCTCGGTCCGATGGAAAGTTTGTCCCACGCAACAGGGAGTTGTCGGTGAAGAATATCTGCAATATTCCTGTCCGCGAGGGGTTAACTAGCCCCGCCGCAGAACCTCAGAGGGGAAAAAACCTTTATTCCAATTAATTTTGTTCAGTTCAAATAAATCAATGCTCTTTAAATAGTTCTCTCGGTCCGATGGAAAGTTTGTCCCACGCAACAGGGAGTTGTCGGTGAAGAATATCTGCAATATTCCTGTCCGCGAGGGGTTAACTAGCCCCGCCGCAGAACCTCAGAGGGGAAAAAACCTTTATTCCAATTAATTTTGTTCAGTTCAAATAAATCAATGCTCTTTAAATAGTTCTCTCGGTCCGATGGAAAGTTTGTCCCACGCAACAGGGAGTTGTCGGTGAAGAATATCTGCAATATTCCTGTCCGCGAGGGGTTAACTAGCCCCGCCGCAGAACCTCAGAGGGGAAAAAACCTTTATTCCAATTAATTTTGTTCAGTTCAAATAAATCAATGCTCTTTAAATAGTTCTCTCGGTCCGATGGAAAGTTTGTCCCACGCAACAGGGAGTTGTCGGTGAAGAATATCTGCAATATTCCTGTCCGCGAGGGGTTAACTAGCCCCGCCGCAGAACCTCAGAGGGGAAAAAACCTTTATTCCAATTAATTTTGTTCAGTTCAAATAAATCAATGCTCTTTAAATAGTTCTCTCGGTCCGATGGAAAGTTTGTCCCACGCAACAGGGAGTTGTCGGTGAAGAATATCTGCAATATTCCTGTCCGCGAGGGGTTAACTAGCCCCGCCGCAGAACCTCAGAGGGGAAAAAACCTTTATTCCAATTAATTTTGTTCAGTTCAAATAAATCAATGCTCTTTAAATAGTTCTCTCGGTCCGATGGAAAGTTTGTCCCACGCAACA